GCGGTACACTATAACAAATAGAACTGGCTGCAGTGTTTTCCAGTTTGGGTAAGAAAGACTAAGAACAAGGCTTTCAAATGAATTATAATTTAGTTTAGGGTCCATTAAAACGCTCGAATCATATATGGCTGCCACTCCACCTCCTCGGCCTGTGCCTCGAGGAATGTGAGTATTAATATGACTGGGGGGGTGGATTCATTTAGGCTAACATACTCCTCGTGGGACAACCAGGTCTCAGTAAGACAAAGTAAATCAATATCATAATCTGATATTAATTCATTCACTAAAACAGCTTTAGAGGACAGAGACCTGATATTTAACAGCCCACATTTCATTCTCTTATTTTGTGCTACTGAGGAGTTGGTTTTAATTTTAATTAGATTTTTATGTTGAACTCCTCTTGTTTTTATTTCTTTAAATAATTTAGGTGGTCGGGGGACAGACACAGTCTCTATGGAGTTTTGGGTGGGTGACTGTTCTAAAGAAAGAGCAGAGAAGTGTGTAAGACAGCAGCTCTGCTTCCTGGTCCCAACTCTGGACTGTCAGGTTTCAGAAATAAACTTTGCCATATTTCTAGATAAGAGAGCCGCTCCATCCAAAGTGGGATGGATGCCGTCTCTCCTAATCAGACCAGGTTTTCCCCAAAAAGGCTTCCAGTTATCAATGAAGCCCACATCGTTTGCTGGACACCACCTCGACAGCCAGCGGTGGAATGACGACATGCGGCTATACATGTCATCACTGGTCACATTGGGCAGGGGTCCAGAGAAAACTACGGAGCCCGACATTGTCTTGTCATAATTACGTTTAAATGTTAAGCGGGTAAATAACCGCTGTAACGAGTAAAACAAATTTAGATTTAGCGTTCACTGACAGAGCTACAGCACCAAACAGTGTACACAGAGCAGGAAGTGAACCGGAAATGAGTCAGTACGCTTACCGTAGCACGTCACCAGGAATTGCACGTCACCAGCAGACATGTGTGAGCCTTGCCCTTTAACAAATTTGTCAAAGGTGCAACAACAGTTGAGAAATTTTTACAGAACGCTCGATAGCAACCTACAAGACCCAAGAATCGCATCAACTCCTTCTTGGTAGCGGGCACGGGGTACTGCATGACAGCGTCAACTTTAGCCTCTATTGGACGAACCTGTCCCTGGCCAACCACCCGACCGAGGTACGTCACTATCACTTTAGCAAACTCACACTTCGCAAGATTTATTGTCAAGTGCGCGCCAGGCAACCAAACAGAGCACCAATACGTTGAATGTGATCATCCCATGTATTACTGAAAATAACATCAAGATAAACAGAACACCCCTTAAGACCGGATACCACCATATTCATAAGGCGTTGAAATGTTGCGGGCGCATTACGCAGGCCAAAACACATGACTGTATATTCGTACAGTCCGAAAGGTGTTACAAATGCAGAAATTTCACGAGTATGCGCTGTCAAAGGAACTTGCCAGTATCCTTTTAACAAATCAAATTTACTAACAAATGTGGCTGAACCAACCTGGTCAATACAATCCTCCATTCGAGGTAAAGGATAGGAATCAGCCTTGGTGACTTCATTCAAAACAGACGGTTCAAAAAAAAATCTTGAACTGTTCCAAACTGTCTCAAACTTTTACAATTTTTTCCAAAAAGTCTCAAACTGTTCAAAATTTTCCCAAACGGTCTCCAATACTCCCAAACTGTTCTAAAAGGTTCCAAACTGTTCCAAATGTTTCCAAACTCTCAATTCAAACTCAGCTCTCCCAACTCAACTTCAGTTCTCCAAATTCAAACACGCGACTTCAACAGCGGACACTGTACTTTCCAATGACCCACAACATGGCAGTAATTACAAGCCCTGGCACCATCGGCTCCTGTGTAGGAGGATGTACTAGCATGCGATGGAACAGACTTCGGGAAACTGGTTACCAGTGCGAGAATTGCCACCATTATCTCCACTTTTCCATTCAACTCCAGAGCGCCCATCTGCAAAACTACCTTTATGTGTCAACACAAATTCGTCTGCCAACTCAGCCGCTCTAAGCGCAGTGGGGGGCTTCTGCTCATTAACATATGTTGCAATGCGTTGAGGGATTGCGTTTTTAAATTGTTCGAAGACAATCAACTCAAAGTCTGTCAAACGAATCCACTCCTGTAGAAGAACACCAATGGTTAAAATGAGACAGTAAATCAAGGACAAACTCTACTTTAGTTTGCTTATCCCCCTTGACCCAACTTAAATTTTTGGCGATATGCCTCAGGAACCAACTCATGCACATTTAACACAGTTGATTTTACTGTAGCATAGTCCAAACTCACATAACGCAGAATATGCCTCTTGAGCCCTCCCCGTAAGAACGCACTGAAGCATCAGTACCCTATCAGAATCTGGCCATTTTTTAGCATCTGCTACCCGTTTAAATAAAATGAAGAAAGTATCAGGGTCACGCTCGTTAAACTTCGGCACCAAACGCAAATTAGCCCCAACATCAATACCACAAGACGAATATGCAGAGGAAGACTGGTCCCCCATACCCGACTCAGCTAGAGAAAGTTTACCCTCCATGATCATCGTTAATTTGGACTGTTCTAGTTCCAATTTCATTTTCTCAGTGTGTTGCAGAATTTTCTCCAACTCAAGTTGCTTCTCCATGTCAACTTGTAACCGTACTCTCTCTTGCCTATACTGCAAAATCAACAACTCTTTCTGCTGCTCGAATGTCAACCCAGCCGCAGGCACAACAATTGGCACTGGTGCTGGTCCTACAAAATCTGGACCCAACTCTCCTTTAACCAAAACACCTTTTTCATACAATGAAGACAAAACCATGGCTATAATCTCCCCCTTATTTTTCTTAACATCAACACTAAAGCCATAGTGGTCAGTGATCTGTATTAACTGCTCCTTATTACAGCTTTTTACAAACAACTCTGTAGGTGCATTCACAAACTCTAACACGGAAGCCATAGTAGTTTACAGGTACTTACCAGAATGCACTGTGTTAACCAACCAAACAAGTGTGAGGTGAAAGTTAACCCTTAGAGTATTTCCCCCTAACTTGCCTAAACAAAACACCAAATTAAAAACCAGCAGGCAGCTGGATCTAATTATTTACTCAGCATGTCATTAAATCTGTGCGCCAAATTTATTTAACCAAATAATCTAACCAAAAAGACTAAAAGACGAGCCCTCAATTTGTCACACCCTGGCTCTTAAGGCATGACAAATATGAGAGATACACCACTTTAAAGAAAAACAAAAAGTAAGTTATTGAACAAAAAGTCAAATTAAGAACTGAACATCTAAATACTTTAAATATAGAGTGTGTATACTAGGTTAGTCAGTAGTGTAAGGTGTGCATGAGGGAGAATGTGTGTTTATGTAGTAAAGTGTACAAAACAATATAAGATAAATATAAGAACAAGTTAGGACAACTCAAACAATACCAACCAGTAGCAGCAGAGAGCTAAAATGGGCAACAGGGCCTTGATTATATAGCCCGGGAGCACCGGGACCAGGTGTTCCCAGTTGGCACCAATTAACCCCCAGTCAACACCACAATCTGACCTGGCTCAAACAAACACCAAACACTCAGTGACACCAGGGGGCACCACTGTATGAATTTAAAAGTTATTAAATAATGGTCAGATAGGAAAGGATTATGTGGGAAGACTATTAAATGTTCAATATCAATGCCATATGATAGAACAAGGTCAAGAGTGAGATTAAAACAATGAGTTGGTTTATTTACACTCTGACAGAAGCCAATTGAGTCTATGAATGAGATAAATGCGTTACTTTAGTGGCTCAAATGGGAGAGACTGTACATACAACTGTTGCCTGGGTTCTTCACCAGTCGAAGCTGTATAGGAGAGTGGCAAAGAGAAAGCCACTGTTGAAAAAAGCTCATATGAAATCTCGCCTGGAATTCGCCCAAAGGCATGTGCTAGACTCCAAGGTCAATTGGAAGAAGGTTCTTTGGTCTGATGAGACAAAAAATTTGCATTTTGGCCATCAGACTAGATGCTGTGTATGGCGAACACCAAACACTGCACATCACCACAAACACACCATCTCCACCGTGAAGCATGGTGGTGGCAGCAGCAGCAGCATCATGCTCTGGGGCCCTGGAAGGCTTGTAAAGGTAGAGGGGAACATGAATGCAGAAAATTATCGCCAAATCCTGGAGGATAATCTGACTCAGTCTGCAAGAGAACTACAACTTGGGGGGAAGATTTATTTTCCAGCAAGACAACGACCCCAAGCATACAGCAAAAGCTACACAGAAATGGTTCAAAGACAACAAGGTGAATGTTCTGGGGTGGCCAAGTCAAAGCCCAGATCTCAATCCAATCGAGAATTTGTGGCTGGACTTGAAAAGAGCTGTTCACGCCCGATCCGAGCAACCTGACAGAGCTTGAGCTGTTTTGCAAGGAAGAATGGAGAAAAATAGCAGTGTCCAGATGTGCCAGCCTGATTGAAACGTATCCACACAGACTCAGTGCTGTAATTGCAGCCAAAGGTGCATCTACTAAATACTGACCTGAAGGGGGTGAATATTTATGCAATCATCTTCTTTACCTTTATATTTTTTTAATTAATTGACATTAGTTTGTAAAAATCTGTCTTCCCTTTGCTATTAAAGAGGTATTTTTTTTTTCAAATTCTTGTTAAAAAAGCCAAATTATATTGACCATGATTTCATGTATAAAAGAAACAAAAGCATGAAACATCCAAGGGGGTGAATACTTTTTATAGGCATTGTACCTAGCAGAGTTTCTTGAAGAGTGCTCTATAAATTAAATGTATTATTATTATTATTATTATTATTTTATTATTATGATTATAGTTGGAAAGATTGTGTAAACATTGCTGTGACTTCAGGCCTCCAGAGTCGATGAGGTTCTTTACGGATTAGAATCTATTTTGGTGAAAAGTTTAATGAGATCCTTGGAGGGTGAAGCAATCCAATAAAAACTTTCCACAGACTCAAACAGTTCATTTTCTGAATTTTCAAGGTCAGGTAGCTTTGAATGAGTTGTCAGTGTTGTTGGGGTAATCATTACAATAATACTTTTTAAAATTATTTTTGAATTATTATTCAAATAATCTGTTTGTGTAATCTGTTTTATTATTTTACATTTATTTTAGACAACATTAATGGATTACACGTTAAATGTGACATATATAACTCTTAGTGGGCTTGTAGAAGTGCACAAATACAGATATCTTTATTTTTTGGTTTTGTTCACAGTATACATTTTAATAATTTGCAGTAATTCTACAGTTGTGTACCTTATCTATATCCACAAAAACCTCCACGAGCCTATGTACATTTTCATTGCAGCTTTGCTAGTGAACTGTGTTTTTTACAGCACTTCTATTTACCCAAAGCTTCTGATAGATGTTTTATCTGAAAAACAGATCATATCATATCCAGCCTGTCTCTGTCAATTTTTCATGTTTTACTCCATTGGCAGTTCAGAGTTCTTACTGTTGGCAGCCATGTCCTATGACAGGTATGTGTCTATATGTAAACCTCTGCAATATCCAACTATCATGACAAAAACCACAGTGAGTATTTTCCTGGTTTTATCTTGGCTTGTGCCTGCTTGTCATATTGCAATCCCAGCAATACTGAGTGCTGAAACTAAACTGTGTAACTTTACTTTAAAAGCAATATTTTGTAACAATGCAATTTATAGACTCCAGTGTGTACAATCAAGAGTAATTACTATACAGGGTGTGGTTGCTTTATTAAATCTTACAATTTTCCCCATGCTCTTCATCATTTTTACATACACAAGGATACTTATAATATGCTATCGAAGTTGTAGAGAAGTCAGGAAAAAAGCAGCAGAGACCTGTTTACCCCATTTGTTAGTTTTAATCAGTTTCTCCTGTTTGAGTGCATATGATATCGCTATAGCTCGGGTGGAATCAAATCTTCCAAAAACGGCACGATTAATAATGATGTTACAAATAGTTTTGTATCATCCTAACCCACTTATATATGGCCTCAAAATGAAAGAAATTTCTAAACACCTCAAAAGGTTGTTCCGTCCAGCCAAAATCATTTGATGTAAAAACAGTGATTTATAAGGTACAGTCATTTCTTCTGAAATAATCATGCAGACAGGTGAATTCTTGGAGTATTTAATGCACGCACTTTTTTCCATTACAGACTCTCCACAGGTCCAGTGTATAACATTTAGGAGGAACTATTGTCAGAAATAGAATATAATATGAATATATAATATTTATAGGTATGTTTTCATTAGTGTATAATTAACTGAAAATACAAATTTTCCTTGCCTTAGACAGAGCTGTTTTTATCTACACAGGGAAGGCCATGTTGAACCGCAATGTGACTACAGTAGCTCGTAAAGGATAAACCAAACACTGGCTCTGGACAGGGCCTTTCACCTTTTTTGCGAGCCACTGTAGTTTCTCCGACAGAAGTGGTACTGAGTTAGTTGTAATCTGTTGTAACTTCATTGCTAGATAACCCTACATCCTACACACTGGTCCCTCAACAGTAAAGAGACTCTTGTTGCTCTGTTTGTAATGGAAACAGCAAAAAGTGTGCTGAGCTTGAACAATATAAAGGCTAATTAATTTGGTGTAATTATTCATAATTTTATTTGCTGCCATGAATTTAGTTATCAAAATTAGACACTGGTTACAAGTATTGACATTGATCATTGGCTCTGAATGTCTTGCTAAAATTAAATGTTGGATTTCAGCTATATAAACTATTAAAGCCCATGACTAACGTGTAAAGACAACACTGACAGTGTGTACAGTACAGTACTGTATTCTAATAATGCTTATTATTCATTTAATTTTTTTAACAATGATATTTGCTGCTCTCTGTTTTTGGTCTTCCACGGCTGCACAAGCTGACTCAGGAGAAAATCATTATTTGTCACGTCAAGCTGTGACTTTAGATTTGGTGTGCTGGAACAAACAGGGAAAGCAAGTGTGTGTGTGTGCGTGTGTGTGCGTGTGTGTGTGTGTGTGTGTGCGCGGTGGTTGGTGCGCTGGCATCTGCCTTGATTTTCAAGTTAGAAGTGGCCTTTTGATAAAGCTGAAATGGCATGTATGTTTGCAACAAAACATTCTTTACATTTATGAGAAAAATAAAATCTAAATAAACCTTAAACGCTGAAAAAGTATTATTTTCCTGAAGAAAACAATGTATAGACTCAAAATAGAAGTGTGCTGTAGTGTCTGTGATGTTGGAACCCTGTAAAAACATAGTGACCAGGTTTCATTGCTGTCAACATCTTTCTATTTTGCTCTCTGTCTGTATCATGGACGAAGAAAGAGCCGCAAGTCTGTGTGTCTGTTCAATCCATTCTCACTATCAATTTGTAAAACACTGGAGGCTAAAACACACTGCAGCTGAATGGCAAGTTTCAAAACTGCCCATAACCCCCACACCGGCAGCTACTAGACATGTGTGGGCACCTGTGGTTTTTTTAATAATTTTTTTTTTCCATTGCAAGACAAAATACACAGGGAAATACAGGGAAAACAAAACAATAAATGGACAGGACAATTAATAAGAAAAAATAAGTGCAAAGTGACATTTGTTTTCAATGTTGTGTTTAAGTGGTGTGTGTGTGCATGCACGCATAAGGTGGACAACATCCCCAAAGCAGTTATTAATAAAACAATCACCACCACTGATAACAATAAGAATCGATAATAATATAAGGGAGGGTCTGCCACAGCCACTAGCAGCGATGCAGGGTTGGGCTGAACTGGGTCAGGTATGCTATGTTAACAATATTAGAATTACCTTTTTGAGATTATCACTAACATCTAGGTACATATACAGGTATATCAGGCAGAAAGTGAACATTTTGTCCTCAAAGTTGATCCATCACAATGTGGCCCTTGTCAGAGCATCTCCAAACCTGCAGCTCTTATGGGGTGTTCCCGGTCTGCAGAGGTCAGTATCTATCAAAAGTGGTCCAAGGAAGGAACAGAACCAGAGACAGGGTCATGGGGTCCATGAGGGAGACTGGTGAGGGAGGCCACCAAGACACCTACGACCACTCTGAAGGAGTTAAAAGCTTCAGTGGCTCAGATGGGAGAGACTGTACATACAACTGTTGCCCTGATAGATATAACTGTGTGGAGAGACAGGTTATTGGCCGGTAGTTGGATGGGATGGGTCCCTATCTTAGGGTCCTTCAGGATTAGGACTGTCCTGCCCTGGGTTAGCCACTCTGGGTGGGACCCATCCCTTATCAGGTGGTTCATCTGTGCTGCTAGGCGTTCATTGGGGTGCTGTTAGCTTCTTCAGCCAGTAGGCATGGATCATATCGGGGCCTGGTGCTGTCCAGCTCTTCATCTTTGACACTCTTTCTTGGATGTCTGCCATTGAGATGGTTACTGGTTCTTGTTCTGGGAGGTTGCTGTGGTCTGCTCTTAGGCCCACTAGCCATTGGGCATCTGGGTTGTGTGATGCCTCTTTTTCCCATATGGCCTTCCAGTATTCTTCCACCTCAGCTCTTGGTGGGTCTGGCCTGTTGTTATTTCCTCCCTGCCACTGAGAGTACACCTTGGCTGGTTCAGTGGAGAAAAACTTGTTTATTCTACTGGCCTCTGCCTCCTTGGTGTATCTCTTCAACCGGGTGGCCAGTGCTGTTAGTCTTTGTTTGGCAGTTTCGAGTGCTTCAGGTATGGAGAGCTTGGTGTATTTGCTGGGTGCCCCTTTAGTAACTGCTTGACTATCCAGCTGATTATTTATATATATATATATATATGCCACTGGAGCACGAGAGAGAGCATCTGCTACTATGTTATCTCTCCCCTTAATGTGTCTAACAACTAAGATGTAAGACTGAAGAAATAGCATCCACCGCATTAACCTACGATTTGGACACTGTAGCAAACAAAGAAAGGTCAAAGGGTTATGGTCCGTATACACCACCAATGACCCATTTCCAGAACCGACAAACTTTGAAATGTTGAAGGGCTCAGATGAGAGCCAGCGCTTCCTTCTCTATTGTGGAATAGTTAAGCTGATACGAATTAAACTTAAAAGTACTAACAGACAGGTCTATCAACCCCTTCCCTCTCCTGCAACAAAACGGCACCTGCTCCAACAAGACTTTCATCAACTTCTTTATTTTCTTAATTTAATTCAGTTCAATTTTATTTGTATAGCGCCAATTCTTAACAGAAGTTATTTCAGGACACTTTTCAAATAGAGCAGGTCTTGACCGAACTCTTTAAAACATTAATTACAGAGACCCAACAGTACCACCATGAGCAAGCACTTGGAGACAAGGGCAAGGAAAAACTGCCTGTTAAAAGGCAGAAACCTAGGACAGATCCTCCGGCTCTAGGTGGGTGGTCGTCTGTCTCGACCAGTTGGGGTGAGAGAGAGAGAGAGAGAGACAGACAGACAGACAGACGCACAGCAACAACAGTATTGGCAATGGCAGTCAAGCAGGACCATGGCAGGAGGCTCCACCAGGATCCATGAGAACCTGCGAGACGAGAAAGCACAAGAACTCCGGGGAAGAAGTGAAGTTAGTAACATGCATTAATGGGACATGAATGAGTGCAGAAAGAGAGAGGAAGGGAGGAGCTCAGTGCACCATGGGAAATCCCCCGATAGTCTAGGCCTATAGCAGCATAACTAAGGGATGGTTCAGGACTCACCTGATCCAGCCCTAACTATAAGCTTTATCAAAGAGGAATGTCTTAAGCCTACTCTTGAATGTGGTGAGGGTGTCTGCCTCCTGAACCACAACTGGAAGCTGGTTCCACAGGAGAGGAGCTTGGTAACTGAAGGCTCTGGCTCCTGTTCTACTTTTAGAGACTATAGGAACCACAAGTAGCCCAGCATTCAGAGAACGTAGTGTTCTAGAGGGGTAATAGGGTACTATGAGCTCTTTAAGATATGAAGGGGCCTGACCATGAAGAGCTTTATAGGTGGGGAGGAGGATTTTAAATTCAATTCTACATTTTACAGGGAGCCAATGCAGAGAAGCTAGTACAGGAGAGATGTGATCTCTTTTTCTAGTTCCTGTCAGTACTCGTGCTGCAGCGTTCTGAATTAATTGGAGCGTTTTAATGGACTTATTGGGGCAACCTGATAATAAAGAGTTGCAGTAATCCAGCCTTGAAGTAACAAATGCATGGATTAGTTTTTCTGCATCTGTCTGTGATAGTATGTGTCTAATTTTTCTAATATTACGTAAATGAAAGAAGGCGGTCCTAGAGGTCTGCTTTATGTGGGAGTTAAATGACAAATCCTGATCAAAGATAACTCCAAGATTCCTGACAGTGGTGCTAGAGGCCAAGTTAATGCCATCTAGAGTGACTATATCTTTAGACAATGAGTCTAAGGTTTTTGGGGCCAAGAACAAGAATTTCGTTTTTTTCTGAGTTTAACATCAGAAAATTACAGGTCATCCAGGATTTTATGTCCGTAAGACATGTTTGTAATTTAGATAATTGATTAATTTCATTGGGTTTGATTGATAGATATAACTGCGTATCATCTGCATAACAGTGAAAGTTAATGGAGTGATTCCTAATAATGTTGCCTAAAGGGAGCATATATAAAGTAAATAGTATTGGTCCAAGTACAGAACCTTGTGGAACTCCATGACTAACTTTAGTATTTATGGAGGATTCATCGTTAACATGTACAAACTGAGAACGATCTGATAAGTATGACTTAAACCAGCTTAGGGCGGTTCCTTTAATGCCAATTTGATGCTCAAGTCTCTGTAAAAGAATATCATGGTCAATGGTGTCAAATGCAGCACTAAGATCTCATAATACAAGTACAGAGACAAGTCCATTGTCAGAAGCAGTCAGAAGGTCATTATTAACTTTAACCAGAGCTGTCTCTGTGCTATGATGAACTCTAAATCCTGACTGAAAATCCTCAAATAAACTATTGTTATGTAGAAAGTCACACAACTCTTTGGCGACTACTTTCTCCAGAATCTTAGAGAGGAAGGGGAGGTTAGAAATCGGTCTATAGTTGGCTAAAACCCCTGGGTCAAGAGTGGGCTTTTTTAAGAAGGGGTTTAATTACAGCTACTTTAAAGGACTGTGGTACATATCCTGATAATAAAGAAAGATTAATCATATCCAGTAAAGAAGTGCCAATTAAGGGAACAACTTCTTTAAGCAGCCTAGTTGGGATCGGGTCTAATAGACAGGTTGATGGCTTCGATGAAGAAATGATTGAAGTTAACTGATGAAGATCGAAAGCAGAAAAACAGTCTAAATATATATCTAAGTTTACATTGACAGACGTCCCTGAACTTGGAGAGCCACTGATAACTGTTGATGGCAGTTGGTGATTAATTTTTTCTCTAATAGTAATAATTTTATGATAGAAGAAGCTCATGAAGTCATTGCTACTTAAGTTTATGGGGATATGTGGCTCGATAGAGCTGTGGCTCTCTGTCAGCCTGGCTACAGTGCTGAAGAGGAACCTAGCGTTATTCTTATTTTCTTCTATTAGTGCTGAGTAATAGGCTCCTCTGGCATTACGGAGGGCCTTTCTATAGGTTTTAAGATTATCTTGCCAAATTGAGTGATATTCTGATAATTTGGAAGAGCGCCATTTCCTTTCAGATTTCCTAGCTATTTGTTTTAACTGGCGGGTTTGGTGGTTGTACCAAGGTGCTAGTCTCCTATGTTTTAATAATTTCCTTTTTATAGGAGCGATAGAGTCTAATGTTGATCGTAGTGAGCCTGTAGCACTATCGACAAGATTATCAATTTCAGAGGGACTAAAGTCATTATAGGACTCTGTTATATTCAGACATGGCATTGAATTAAACACTGAAGGAATCTCCTCCTTAAATTTAGCTACAGCACTGTCAGATAGACATCTGCTGTAGGAAGTTTTGCCTAATGGCTTATAATCTAATAGTATGAATTCAAAAGTTATTAAATAATGGTCAGATAGGAAAGGATTATGTGGGAAGACTATTAAATGTTCAATATCAATGCCATATGATAAAACAAGGTCAAGAGTGTGATTAAAACAATGAGTTGGTTTATTTACACTCTGACAGAAGCCAATTGAGTCTATTAATGATATAAATGCATTACTAAGGCTGTCATTGTTAACATCCACATGAATATTAAAATCACCTACAATAATTACTTTAT